TGAGTTTCCCTATATGGACTGAGAATTGAACCCAGGCCCTCTCCAAGAGCTATGTGTGCTTTTAACTAGTGAGCTGTCTCTGCAATTCCTCATTTATTACTTAGAAGCTGTCTTTCCATAATTGTGAATGCTCAGCTATAGAAAAAGTTCAGTTTGAAGCGTAAGTTGGTCAGTACAAGAGATGAACTGTATTTGAAATGGAAGTGACTGACCTACTTGGTTCTCTTGCAGTTGCTGAAGACAGTAACTGTCACAGTGACCACAGCTGCTGATGCTGTGCCCCTCTTTTCTGTTCCCAGCAACACTCTGGTGGAGCCTAGATGTGCTGTGAATTCCTAAAGCTAGTGATGGCAATTCCTAATTGGATAAAAGCATCCCAGTGTGGTGGTGAACAATCCCAACACTTGGAAGGCAGAGGCAGGAGGGTCAGGAGTTTTTTTTTTGTTTTGTTTTATTTTTTGGTTTTTTTTTTTTTGGTTTTTCGAGACAGGGTTTCTCTGTGGCTTTGGAGGCTGTCCTGGAACTCACTTGGTAGTCCAGGCTGGTCTCGAACTTACAGAGATCCGCCTGCCTCTGCCTCCCTAGTGCTGGGATTAAAGGCGTGCGCCACGGGTCAGGAGTTTAATGACAGCTTCTATGTCATAGAGAGTTTTAGTACAGCCTCAACTACATTAGATTCTGTCTTTTTAAAAAAGATAACCATTTTATCAATTCATGCAGATAAATTCTGTATCATGTCTATCAATCTGTCCTAGAAAATCATTTGACAAGAATTTGGATAAGAATTGTCTGAAGTATCTCATACTAATGTTAATTAAGAGCTTCTACGAAATACCTGCAGCTTCTGTCATTCCTACTGTGCTTTCTGCAGCCACTAGGACAATTTAGCATGTACTGTAATGCAGAAAGTTATAACTACAGACTTGGAACTAAAAGATATACAGATGTGCCAAAAGAAATAAAACCCTATATGTGGACGGTGTGCTTGTCTCTATCGAAGAATCCAATGAGTCTAAAACAGAACAAGGACTGAAAAATGATTTGGCCCAGTTTCCCAGCTGTAACAACTTCCCCACCATGGTGGACCCAGCCATGTGGAAGGGATCCCAGACCAAATTGTTTTCCTGTATCCTGATTACTTAATTATATATTATTACAAGAATAGCACATGCCATGAGGAAGCCCCAAATGGAACAATGTTGACAGCAACTATAGGGGTGAAGGGTTTGTGAACTAAATTGTCAGGTGCACAAAGGGACATTCAAACACATAATTGAAGTTAGTGAAGGGAATGAGCTATGAATGAGGACATGGAAGAGGACTCCAGGTAGTCACAACACTCAGTAGGGCCTGTAAGGAACCTAGCTGTTACTGGAGGGCAGGAAAGTTGGAGCACATGGTAGGGCAGGGAGAAGAGGTTTACCAGAGACCACTTTAGAGAGAGGGTAGAGAAAACAATGGTGATTTCTGAACTGCTGTGGCACTTTTCCTTTTATATGAATAAAATAGAGACAAGAGAAGGTTGATGTCATGGTGGAGACATAACTCATCATCTCAGACAAGAAGAACAAGCAAATCAATAATTCACTAAATGAAATGATAACAAGAGAATGAGGGACTAAAACATCAACCTTATGGCTGGCTTTATCCAGCTTCCAATGCAGTTGTTAAGTTCTTCCTCCATCTTGCTCAATATCGTGTTTCTCGCCTTGTGAGGTGGGTGCCTTCTCTTTGTTGGGCTCCTGTAGATACTACCTTCTCCTATTCAGATATCCCACTGATCCATGATCTCTATTAGCACACAAACCACTGCCTGGTGTGGTCTCTACCACTGCCCTGCATGGCTTGCAGGCTTGCCCTTGGACTTCAAAGTGTTCTTGGCACTTTCCCAGCCAGACTATCTGTCCAGGTTCTCAGCTATGGTTGGTAGCACCTAGAAGTAGACATGGAGAACTGAGCCATGGTTGTTAAGCTTGCATGACTTTCTAAAAATGCTTTTTGATTCAGTTATGTGCATGTAAATCATACAGAATTAGCTAAAAGTTTCTTCTTCCAGAAAAGTTCTGTTCTTAAGGTATGAATGGTGGAGCCAATGGAATACAACTGTGTAAACATGGCATGTTGACCCAGCTTTGAGGGACACAGTTGGAAGAGGCCAGGAATTCCTTTGTGTTCCTGGGCAGCTATTGAGCCCAACCCCAACCACAGACACGGTTTGCTCTCACACTCCGGGGACAGACAAACAACTCTGATTGCACCAGAATAAGAGACACTGTGCCCTGGAGCCCCAGAATTTAGTCAACACACATGGAACCTAATAAAACAGCTATATACCCAGTGGACTTTGACTCCAGCTCACCTCCCCTTGTCCCACAGACAAGTCACCCTCCCAATATGCTCTCCACATTGGTGTTACACACCACATGGTGCCTCCTGGTTCCCTGAGGTCACTGTAAGACTGGTCACTAAAGTGAATTGTTCCTTAAAACAGACTCTAATCCAGGAAAGACCTACAGTCAGACTCTTGCCCTGTCTGCTGGCTCTCAGGGGGCATCACTTCAATATGCATGAGCCTTGTCCCTGCTTCTGAGGATAAAGCCTGTTCTGCTCTGTCAGGGGCTGTTAAGAACAGGATCCACCCTGCCAGTGTCTCCATCTGATGGTCTCTGTTCTCCCAGTGGAACAAGATCAGCCTAGCTTCACAGTGTTTTCCAGTGTGCAGGGATAAAAGGTACCAATCAAACTTCACATCAATGGCCCCAATGCCTAGAAGTCAAACCTAGGTATTCTCATTCCGGATGTAGGATACAAAGGACATTTAGCTCTATGGAACACAGATCTCAATTGGATGAGCATCTAGAAGGCTCACAGAACATGGGTAGTTATGTTACGTCAAGGATCCAGGAGAATGGGCTACATACCTGCTTCCTGCATAACAGAGGAGGGTGCAGAGCTCCTGGACACACCTGTTGTGGAGTGCTGTTCCCCAAGTATAACACCCACCACCATTATGAGTGGGAGCTGTGATTCTCAAGAAACCATCAAGATCAGATATGTCTAGAGATTCTTACAGAAGGAGAAAGTAGTATCTTCAGACATTACCTGTGTTTCTGTACACTCTCTCCTGCAGTGTGTAATTCCTCCCCATAATGCGCATGGTCTCTTCATATCAAGAAGTGCTTTAGAATATGTAGAGTATTAAAGGTTAACTAAAGGAGAAACTTTATCCATGCCCTTGTGAGTATATTGTCATCAATCTATGGTGAGACATTTCAGTGATGCAACTGGTCACCCATCTGCCTATAAGTAACCCACTCCCTATAGCAAGCCAGTATTCACAGGATCACCTAGTTGGATTTTGGTGGAATTCTACACTGTTCTGTCACAGTTCTGTAGGGACCAGTATTGGCTCAGGACACCCAAAGACCAAATTCTTTGTGCAAATGAGATTCATTTGCCCTGAGGAACAAATAGCAGAAAATGAGAGACAAAGACAGGAGATAGAGGACAAGAGAGAAGGGGAAGTAAACATGGAAGAGAGCGAAGGGGTATTTGTCCCTACAGCTGTTGGAACAGGAAGACAAATAACTACCTCTGGATAGAGGGGACACGGGTGGCCCCCATAAGCAAATGGAATTTTATACAAATAAGGAGGAAAATCCCATGTAATGATGAGGCATTTAATTCCAATTTGGCATGTTTATTACATGAGCCAAAATATGCTTTGATTACTGGACTTCAGTACTTCCATAGCTGGATATTGGTGGTCAGTCTCAAGAGGAGGAAGTAGCCAAATGAGGGATTAAACCTTGGTGGATAGTTTTGGAATGTAATCTAAAAGATTTCATCACGGCAGAGAAATTTGAGGAGAATGGTAAAGCCTGTCAGAGCCCTGTTTGACATGCTTCAGCTAGACTGAGTAGAATTTGTTTATATCTGAATTGGAAACATTCACACAAAATACATCAGAGGCTCAAAAACAACTGATCTCATCTGACTCCAGACATTCGGTGACAGAGCTCTGGTGGTGACAACACAATTGTAGAAGGAGATTTGTCATATCTGTGGCTCCTAGATTCTCCATAAGCAAGTTCCATCTCGAAGGCTGCCCCATGAACATTTTCATCTTGGGGTGGAGTTGGGTCCTCTGAGCTCCTCTCCGCAATTCCCTCAACCACGGAACACATGGTCTGTGACTGACAATCACTGCCAGGTATTGCACAAGGGACAGGGCCAGATGCACTGAGTTTTCTCAGCACAAACATCTGCTCATAATGACCTATCTAGCAAGAAGCTAATTCACAGACCTACCCCAAGCTCACTTGAATCATTTTGTCAAAGCCTCCTGAAGCCACAGTAAGATGGTCCACAAAGGATCTGATTGCATTTTGTATGTGAATAGCATCAGAAGAACACATTATTGCTATATTTGAAAAGAATGAACACTGATTTATGGGTCTTTAATGGAAATGTAGAGTAAACTTTTGCCCTCTGGTTTGGATTTTTGGTGTTCTGGCCTCTGGGTCTCCTTGTCCTTGCAGAAGGTGACTAGAGTAAACTAACATGCAGATGGTAAATGCCTCAGCAGCAAACTCTGCCTTACACACACTGAGAGACCAGATGCACTGATCCATAGCCATCCTCACTGTGGCCTCACTCCAGGGCCAGCATCCATTACCAGAGGCAGAACCTCAGGACAGTACTGAGAACTTGTGTTCAGGCAGTAACCCATGTTAACCACATACACCTGCATCCCTGCAAAGCTACTCAGCCTCTTCTACCCTCACTGGTTAACATCCAGGCTCCTGCCCTTGCCCTCCCTGCCCTTGCCCACTGCTAAACCCAGTGACCCACTTTGCCATGGCATGCCACCTGCACGGAGATCTGTAAACATGAAATCTTTCTTCCTGCCACATGGTCAGGATTGAGCATCAGCCTACACCTGAATACCAGAGAGCTTGTAAACAAAGGATCATTCTTGAAACATCAAGCCAAGAGCTATTTATCACATTTATTGAAAGATCCAGCACCAGGTGCCCGTGAAGTCTCTGCAGGGTTCCTCTGTGCACTAGGATTCTTTTCCAAGTTCACAGGAATCTATTTGTAAACACAGAAAGATGGGAACTTTAGCATGTTGACACGGACACTGTCACACAAGGAAATCATAAATAGAAGAGAAGGAGAATCAGCAAAAGCTTTATCATTACCATCAAAAGGGGGGTTGATGATGCTTGTTTTGTTCAGTGGCAGTTGGCTCACAAGGGTTTCAAAATCCATCAGCATTGTTGGGTGTGCAGTATGATTACGGCGACCTGCAGGCCAGGTGAGGATGATGAGAAGTGCTGGGAAGGACACTCACTACAGACAGATCACACACAAGTCCTTTGGGAGATCTTCTGTGACAAAAGCAGATTCAAGCAACAGACTGGGTGTTTTCACAACAAGCTCTCCGAGAAGGATGTCAACCACATGGGAACAATCAGAAGGGAAAAAGGTGCACACCTTATTTGAGACAAGTATTACCCAAGCAAATAATTTTGCTGGGAGACTGGAGCACCAGGAGGGTCCCTCTTCAATGTCTTCTTATGGTGATTTCCAGCCACCCATTCATACACGGCAGAAGGCAGATGCAGAAATCCCTCCACAGGCACACCCTGAACTCAGGGACATCCAGACCCACTTTCCTCAATTCCTCCTAGGGGAAATACTGCATTTGACAGCTTGGGTAGCATGAGGTGGAAAGAGGAGGTATGGACTGGTGATTGACTACTTCTCTGCTTTGTTCTGTTTCCAGGTCCTCATAGCAGGACACCACCATACAATAAGACCACAGTACTCCATCCTCTGCCTCCTAAATACATGCTGGGGGAGGTCCGGCCGTGCACTTGACTCCTCCTTGGCCCAGGATGATATTTTATATTGGCAAGGTAGATTGATGCTAGAGACACCAATGGGGTCTAAATAGCACCACATCCTCTAGGGTCCTTGGGTGGGGTTGTGGGCATCCGTGCTTGTTTCTGTTGAGATCCCTTGTCTAGTCTGAGATTCCTCCCAAGACTCTGTTAGCATCTCATGTGCACAGAGCCTGGAGATTTGGAGGGCAGGAAGACAGGAGAGCAGGAGGAAGAAAGGAAGATGCACAGGAATGCTGGAGAACAGAAGGACAGTCCAGTAGGAGCACTTGAGGGGAAGGATCCTGAGAACATAGTGTCAGGAGATGCTAGCTGTACTTTGAAATGTGGTGAAATCTTCAGAGACCAGGAAGAAGACAAGGTCTAAGGTTTGTTGATGGTGGTAGATAGAGTTCATGGGTCCAGTTGGCACTGGATTTTGGAGCAATGTACACTCCTGGGTACATCAGTGTCTACAGTGTCTCCTTTGTGAGAACAGAGACAGCCTGGGTCATTGGACCAGGAGAGCTGCCTTCATGAGGACATGACTGATCTGTTTCTCACCTCAATCTCTACATGTTATACATGTTTAATTTCTGGCTTCTCTTTAGAGAGAGAGAGAGAGAGAGAGAGAGAGAGAGAGAGAGAGAGAGAGAGAGAGAGAGAGAGAGAGAGAGTTGTGTGTGTTTGTGTGTGTGTGTGTGTGTGTGTGTATGTATACAATTACATGTTCTTACACTCTTCAGAAAACAATGGTAGGTCTCTCCACATTACCGTCTTTAGGGAGAATCTCTAAACGAATGTGAAACCCCTCTTTTTGACTCTGCTATCTGAGGTCAAGGGATTTGCTTGGGTAAATAGCACGCTTAGCTGTCACTGACATTGTATGTTAGAGCTGGGTGCTGAAAGTCAGGCCCAGGCCCTTGCCCAGAACCTATTTCTAGTCATGAAGCCATAACCCCATCCTTTCTAGTCCTTTCTATAACCTGTAAATTTTCTGGATTAAAAACAGAGAAGTTACACGTTTTGTTTTCCTCATCAGTGAAAAAAGCAGTGTCTCCTCTTATCTGTCTCTTCATTTCATTTCAAACTGGTGATGAGCTGTGAACTTCAGGACCTCAAAAATATCTGGCCAAAGGGGAGTGTCTTGTGAACAACAGGATGTTGAGCAGGACTCTGGCAAAATGGCATTTGATACTGGGACCATCAGTCCTCCTACCCTGATGATGACACAAGTCTACAGGTGACAAGCAATATAAACAGCGACATATGATCCCACTACTATCTCTGCTCAGAATAGGACAGCACCAAGGGCTGATTGAGAGGGAAAGATGTGATGATGAGTGAATGGGGTTTGGGTGTGTGCCCTAGATATCGGAAGTTCTCATCTGAAGGTGGAGGATGGGAGAGCTAACAAATGTCAGTCACAAAGTGCCAGAAATTATAATAATGACCCTAGGGCAGAACTAGAACTAAGGGGGAAAAGATGCAGACACGGACTCTGTACCCAGTGACCCAGGAATCCTGGCCAACACTCAGGCAGAACAGGACATACCCATGAACATTGCCATCTTCTGGTGTATATCATTGACCTTGGCATTTAAAAAGGCGAAACCGAAGTTCTCCCCTCCAACAAACACTATGACAACATAGTGCCATATCCCTGCAGACAGAAAACAAGCTGTGTGACTATAAGCATTTCCCCAAAAGAGTCTGAAATGGAAAAAAATGTAAATATAAGCACCTACAGAGTGAAAAGTAGCAAGGTTTGTCTTTTGCTTCATTCAAGGCCAGCTTGAACTCAACACATCCAATTGGTTTCCTGAACACAAAGCAGAAGCACGGTTCTCTCCTTCACACCTGCCACATTTCCTGCTCCCATGCACAGTGCCCAACACTGAGGAGACCTCAGCAACCCCCATAGGCAACACAAACAGCAAACAACCACACCCCAGGTTGCCATTCTGTGCTCAATCTTCTGTGTTTCCAAGTCACACTAGCATAGAAAACACAGAGCCAATGACCAACCCATGCTTGGAGTTCAGGAGAGTGTTCCAAGCAACCCACCCCAAACCATTTTCCATGAGGAGGCCAGGCTATGTCCTTGGTATCAAAATGTTTCCCAAGGCCTCTCCCAGACGACATAAGCATGAATGTACCCATGATCCTGCAGACTCCTCATTGAACTCAGAATCAAATGAAAACGTGAGCAAGAGGCTCCCTCTCAACACAAAAATGAGTGGTGTCTATACCAGTTTCCACAAGAGACAACAACATTGTGTTCAAAAGTTCCTGTAATTTCCAGTGTGCAACAGTACAGAATGCATCAGGTAGGACCCTGGGTCTTCTGTACTAAGCTAGGTGTTCCTGGAAAAATCTTTCCTGCAGCTACTGATGATGTCATCTGACACATTGCCCAGGCAGGACAAGAGGATTCCATGTTATATAAACTGTCCAGATGAAATTGATAGCATGTGTGTGGTGAGGGTGAGGATCCAAGTAGACGCCCCGAGAGCAGATACTCACGAGATGTTCATCCTAAACTCCAAGTACCCAATTTTGTTTTTGGACAATGTGAAGGGTGGCAGTCGGCTTCTCAGCTTTTCTTCTGGGAGGGGAAGGTTTCCAGCCCAGCGAATTATATACCAGTTTCCTAAAAGCTAGATGCAGGAGTCACAGCTGAAGAGGTCATAAGGGAAAGGGAGAGCCAGAAAAAGGAATTGCTTGCTCTAGCTGAAGGGGGAGCAGATGCAGGAGGTATATGGGAAGCATTTCAGAGCAGACTGTAGGGTCAGGGACCCTTGGTCATGATCAATCCCTATGTATAACTGGCAGACAGTTACAAGCAAGGTAAGGCAGGGATATTCTTGGAGATGCTATTCCTGGGATTGGACACAGCCATGGTCTTGCACAAATAAATCATAAGGAATAGAATAGGCGCCTACAGAATAAGGCTGGGGTGGGGTGGACAGAGATTAGAAATGACTGGTCATGTGTGGATAATACCACCACAAACCCACTGACTCTTGGGTCACTTATGGCCATACCAACAGAACCAGGTTTTGTCTTATACTATGAGTAGAGTTCCTGCTTTACTCCACTATTAGGGACTACTCTCTAAGGATTTGAGTCATCCACGTTCTAGCAAAGACTTATTCTTAGTGTTATCCCTGGACAACAGAAATGCTGATGTGTCATTTATGTGGGGTTAATAGAACGTGCTTGGGAGCTCATGATTGACAGATGGAGGTATTGGTTCTCTGAGGGGCAGTATGGCCCACACTTCTGATTGTTGGTACCACCCATGTGGCAGAAAACATGAAAATTCCATGTTGGATGGTAATTCCAAGCTCGTAACATAAGCTACAAACCAGATTGTATCAATAAACCAAGACTCTCACCCAGTCCATCATTATGATCCTGAAAATCTGGTTCCCACCTTCAGACCTCCCAGAGATCTCACCTTATCTGTTGTGGCACATTCACCTCTATTGATGTAGCCAGCCTGCACCACAGAGAGCAGGGTCAGGCCTGTGGTCAGCAGGAACAGCTGCATCGCTGCCATGGTGCCTCTGTCTACCTGAACTCTGAAAAGCACATTTATCCTATACCAGGCGCCAGACACTCCCACCCTCATCTGACCTGCACAAAGGCTCCACCTGTGATGTGTGCTGATTGCACTGTTTTCTTTGGACCTGTTTGTGGCATAGAAGTGAGGATAGGCAGAGATGGGGACTACTGGGGACTTAAGTCAGGTGCCTGACTCCAAACCTCTCTCAAAGTCTGGGAAGAGGAAGTACCTCTGTGGAGGTGATAATCTCTATAGGACACACGTGGCTGTCTTCACTCATTCCTAGGAAGCCTGTCAGGTGTGGAGGATATTATCAGAGTCATGTTCTGCCAGAGAATTCAGAGACAGAAAGAGAACCACTGTCTCTGTGTTCCCATCCTGCCATGGACAGGCTCCATTCCCAACAGAATGGAAGCATTCATACCTCCCCATCTATCTCAGAACTCCCAGATTCAAGCACAAACACCATTCCTTCTTCACGCAGCAATGTTGGACACATACCTGTGTCATACAGCCATAGCCCCTGAGAACTGAGCTGTACCCAATACCCCCAGGACCTTGGCTTCTGTGCCCTGTGTTCCCCTCTATATTAGACTCTCTTGGATTAAGAACATCACTGTTGATCCTCAGCCACCCAGCAGTTTGGCCCCAACAATGTCTCCAAATCCAATTCAGCTTTTGTTAGATCAGCTGCCTTTCCTGTCTCTCCACACTCCAAGAGAGAACGGTGGTCAGGTCATATGCTGAAGCCCCTCATGCATCCCCAAACTTCACTTCTCCCTTCTCTTTGTCCCCACAGAGAAAGCTCATTACCTGCTTTGTGGATATGTGTGCCAGTCTGTTAGTGTGTGATACCTATTCTTGGTTGTTGTCTAGAAAATATCTGGAATGAACTACAATCCAGAAATACAGGGTATGCTTGTGATCCAGATCTTGAGTCTGGAAGACATGGGCTTTTGAACTGGATCGTGAGGCAGGATGACACATGCCTTTCATCCAGAACTTGAGGCAGGAATGCATGAATTTAATCTGGGCCACACTTTTTGGTGGACACGTATATAAGGACAATGGAAGAAGGAAGGATTGTTCGACTGCTTGCCCTTGCCTTGTCAGGACATCCACTCCTTCCCTGGCATTGGAGCTCACTTCTTTGGGATCCCAGCATAAACAGAAGACGAGCTGAGACACTCGGCCTTGGGGAACTGAGAAACTACTAGATTCTTGATCTTTCCACTCATGGGTAGCAATTGTTGGTTGGCCTGCAGCCTGTAATAGTAAATTCACACACATATATAGTATGTATATAAAATAATATATTAGATAAAGCCAGATTCAAATCCATAAGTGCTGTGACTCTAGAGAACCCTGAATTATGCAATGTGTATGTTTGCATTTGCATGTGTCTTTAGGAAGCTATATGTGGACAAGTGAGTGCCTATCTCTCCATGTCAGTGTCTATGTCAATGAGAGTGCGCAATGTGCCTAGATGTGTCTGTCTCTGTGGCAACAGATCATTGTGTATGTTCATATCTGTACCAGCGGCATGTCTGTGTGTGTCTGTGTATAAGGCTGTGTTACTGTGCATTTTGGACATGTCTATGTACATGTGATTATGTGTGTACCTCTGTTCTATGTATGCATATGTGTTTGTGCTCATTCATGTGAGAAATTATGAGGACAAATCTTTGTGTCTCTGTGTATTAATCTCTATGTTCGTGTCCCTGTTTGTGTGTGTGTTACCTGGGTTTTTCCAACAGTCTCTTTTATATGAACACCTCAGCAGTAGATCGAGGCACATTTCTGGGAAATACATGGGCTTTTGATAGAAAAAAAATATATATATATATGAGTCTTAAAAAGGTCTTAATCCCTCAGGTTGCAAACAACCACAAGACCATGTCACACTGCCATGGTTCAACTGTCTCAGGCACTTCGCGTTCCTGCTACCAAGGGATGCTAGCTCTTGAAGCATAGGGCAGAATAACTCCTTCCTCCATTGTTTTGGTTCCATTGTACATTTTGCCACATGGTAGAAATTGGTACAAAAATTAGGTTTTAGAAATTAGGAGGGATTTAGAGATGTGGACTTGAAGAGCAAATAAACTTTTGTCAGAGATGGTTGCAGAGTTAGTGTCAGTATTCTTCAAAGGAGTTTGACCATGGTTGTTTGTCCATGCTTAAATGATCGGCCTTAAACACATGCACATATGCACAGTAATTTCAAAACTCTGGGTTTATGGAGGAGAAAGAGAAGGGGATAGAGGAAAAAATTATGGACAAGGAGGATAAATTGTAAAATAATCATGAAGAGGATGTTGTATAGTGGTTCAGGGGCCACTGGAAATAAGAAGGTGGGGCTGGTAGACAGAAATCCATTATGTCCACCTAGGAAGTTTCCAATAAATATGTGCTAAAAGGGGAAAATAAAGATTAGAGCGTGAACTAGAGAGCTAAAAAGGGCAAGAACAAGGAAAATAGGGAAGCAAGATGTAAGACTTTAAAAAACAAACAAGAAAATTAGATAAACTGATTTTTAAAATCAGGAGGAAGACAAATTAATATAGTGACCCGGATGTTTTTATTGTAGTTATGAGGGTGGGCAAAGCCAGAAGCACCAGGAAGAATCCAGAGCAAGGAGAGAATGTAGTAGACTAAACATAGCCAGTAGACTAATGTAGGACATGAGTGGAGAGAGAGAAGGAGAGAGGAAAAGAAAAGGACCAAGAGAGAGGAGTAAGAGAAAGGATCGAGAAACCCAAGACAGCAGAAACTGTATAACCAAAATGGCAGGGTTATATAGGAATGAGAAGCAAGGGAGAGGTGAGCACATGAGCTGGAGTTTAGGATAAGAGCAGGGTTAGAAAACCTGAGAAGAGACAGAATGCCAGCGTGGCCTCTGTAATAGGTACTTGCAATGCTGAGAGAGCCTAGAGGGCAGCCTGTGCTTTAATATACTAACAAACCCCAGGGTCAGCCAATTGTCTAGAATTACTTTTGGAACTGACAATAGAAAGCTAAATACTGTAGTGCATGCAGTTATTTTGCAATACCCAATATGGATCTATTGGTGAAGTGATAGTTATGAATGTTGAGAACATTGTGTGTCACAATGAACATGTTTCTTTTTTAAATTCTCTTAGCCTTCCAAGATCAACTGGAACTTGTTTGTAATAAATAGTATGGATTTTCACATCTTGAACATTGTCTATAGAAGGACTCAATTATATAATAATACTAAATGAATCTGACAGGAGATAGAGGACAAGAGAGAAGGGGAAGTAAACATGGAAGAGAGTGAAGGGGTATTTGTCCCTACAGCTGTTGGAACAGGAAGACAAATAACTCTGGATAGAGGGGACAGAGGTGGCCCACAGGTTTTCTCCCTCCCCTTCTTTGGGGGACCATGCATTCTTCTCTTGGGGTCCTCCTTGTTTCCAAGTTTCACTGGTGGGATGAATTGTAGGCTGGTAATCCTTTGCTCTGTGTCTAATATCCATATATGAGTGAGTACATACCCTGCTTGTCGTTCTGTGACTGGGATACCTCACTCAGGATGTTTTCTTCCAGTTCCATCCATTTGCCTGCGAATTTCAAGATTCCATTGTTTTTTTCTGCTGAGTAAATTGTGTAAATGTACCACATTTTCTCCATCCATTCTTCAGTTGAAGGGCATCTGGGTTGCTTCCAGGTTCTGGCTATTACAAACAATGCTGCTATGAACACAGATGAACATGTGTCCTTGTATTAATGTGCATTCTTTGGGTGTATACCCAAGACAGAAATTGCTTGATCTTGAGTTAGACTGATACCCATTTTCCTGAGAAACCACCATACTGATTTCCAAATTGGTCATACAAGTTTGAACTCTCACAAGCAATGAAGGAGTGTTCATCTTTCTCCACATCCTCTCCAGCATAGACTGTCATTGGTGTTTCTGATTTTACCCATTCTGGCCAGTGAAAGATGGTATCTCAGAGTTGTTTTGATTTGCATTTCCCTGATGGCTAAGGATGTTGACACTTCTTAAGTGTCTTTCAGCCATTTTAGATACCTCTATGGAGAATTCTCTATTTGGTTCTGCACCCCACTTTTTAATTGGATCATTTGGTGTTTTGGTGGCTAGCTTCTTGAGTTCATTGTATATTTTGGAAATCAGCCCTCTGTCAGATGTGAGGTTAGTGAATATCTTTTCCCATTCTGTGGACTGCCTTTTTGTCTTGTTGATTGTGTCCTTTGCCTTACAGAAGTTTCTCAATTTCAGGAGGTCCCATTTATTAATTGTCAATCTCAATGTATGTACAGTGGTATTACATTCAGGAAGTGGTCTCCTATACCAATTCATTCAAGGGTACTCTGAGATTTCATTTTACACAGGTCAGAATGGCTAAGATCAAAAATATTAATGACAACTTACATTGGAGATGATGGGGAGTAAGGGGAACATTCCTCCACTGCTGTTAGGAGTGCAAACTTTTACAGCGATATTGGAATCAATATGGTAATATCACAGAAAACTGGAATTCAATCTACCTCAAGACCCAGATACATCAGTCTTGAGCATATACTCAAAGGATTCTCAATCATACCAAAAAACACTTGTAACATTCTTCACAATAGCCAGAACCTGGAAACAATCCAGATACCCTTAACTGAAGAATGAATAGGAAAATGTGGGACATTTACACAATGGAGTGTTACTTAGTTGTGAAAAACAATGACCTCATGAAATTTGCAGGCAAATGAATGGAAATAGGAAGAAAATCACTCTGAGTGAGGCAACCCAGACCCAGAAGGACAAACATGGTGTGTACTCACTAATAAGTGGATATTAGGAGTAAGAACAGGACAGCCAACCTACAACTCATACCCCCTAGAGAGGCTAGATAACAAAGAGGGACCAAAGAGGGATTCATGGATTTCCCTGTGAAGAAGAAATAGAAGAGATCTCCTGAGTAAACTAGGGGACTGAGGATTTGGGGATGGGAATATGAGGG